GTTGAAATTTCGTTGTTTTCTAGCATCGCTCTCGCTAGTGAGCACCAGTTTCTTCACCAGGTTCAAATAAAATTGAAATTTCGGTAACTGTTAGTTCTACTTAAACATTGAGAGCCTTGCCCACCCCTACCGATAATAATCAAGAATTTATATTCGTCTATTGACATCTTTCGACAAAGAAAGAAAATATGCTACTAGCTTGATTATTATTGACACTGCACTTATCCGGGGTTTTAGCGATAAGTGATTTCTTACGATAAGGCGCACAGATAAAAGAGCCGCCCGTTTGCTTATGCTAATCCCGCTTCGCAGGTGCATTCCATAGTAATATAGGCACATTTTCAAGACTATTTGAGAAAAAGGCTCAAATTATCCTTGAAATTTTCAACAACCTTAAAAGCACCTACTACCGACCCATGATAATCTGGTAAATCAATTTTAAAAATCACTTAGCCGTGAGAGGATTAATGTGTCTCAGTCAGTCAAAGTGATAAGACTATAATAGTTTTAAGTAAATATATAAAACTAAAACGGATTTGTTTTCGGGCAAAGGATGTAGTCGATTAAAAGTTAGGCGACTGGCAGATAAAGCCCTTCAAAGCTGAAGAATTCATTTTAGGTAGCAGTTTTTGGATGCGCTAATGTGATCCATTAACTAGTGACAATTTCTTTACCGATTTGATAAATTCCGAGACTTAAGTGGAATTTCACAGCCGATAAAAACAAACAATATTTCTTTAATATTAATGAAATCAACCTATGTATAACAACAACAACCACTATGTATAAGTAATTAAACTGTAGGTTATATTAATACGGATGAATCCGACGGCTGACTCATCCCTTAATTTATTAACTGAACATATTTTCTGGCTGATGTAAAATTACATTAAAATAATTCTTTCAAAGTTGCCCGAGTTGAATTGCGTGTAGTTTGAAGTTTAAAATCCGATATAAGTTGATTGTCAGGAAAGTACGGCGAATCCAGAAGAGAGGCAAGTGCACAAATAAAATTTTACCTACATCTCGAGCCAATCCACTTTTATGTTTACCCGGGAAGTTTCAAGTATATTTGCGTAAAAATACACGTATCTAACAGTGTCTTATATCCTGTCGAAAGCCACTAAGTGCGAACGACTCGTTTCGATGTGTTCAAGTCATTTTATTTTCGAAATAAATAATTGCCATTAATGGCAAAACCCTTCAGTTGCTAATTAATACATATAAACTTGCTAATTTCTTTAGGGTTTTGTATTTAATTGAGAGTTTATTTTCGTCCTTATCATGGCCGGACATGGGCATAATCAGACACCAAAATAACTGCGATGGAGGATGATTTAATTAAAAAATAGTCGTCAGCACCCCGACATGTAAACACGGATTAGAACCTGCCAATAGCGATACCTCTCGTCATTTATTATGATACCGTTACCTGTTACCCACTCCTTAGTTTGTACAAGATAATGGAGGCTACTAATTAAATTTTCCTTCGAAATTAATTAAAAATTTCTTATCGATTTTGGAACGTTCGGAACAACAAATATAGAAAATTAGGACTGTAATGTTTTAATTAAAAAATCGAATTGACGGAGAAAAATTAATAAGCAAAGCCCGATATGATCGGAAGTCAATCGTAAGGAATACTATACTCTGAAACAGAAAGGAATTCGAGTCATACGCCAGATACGGGCACATTTTTTCATCAATCATTGCTAAAAAAGCTAGTTGATGTTAAAACGTACCTCACGCACCCTAATTAGCATTTCGACAGCTTCAATTAATGCACTTAATTTCACTGCCTGGCATCGCAGGGTTTTCTATTTAATGCTCTCGTTGAAGCCACCATCCCGGAGGAGTTAACCTGATTTGAATTTCAAACGTAAACTTATTCAATTAAAGTAAATTCACCGATTTAAGTCACAACTGTAAATGGACAGGGTTGAAAACAGTAGGAATATAAGCATTTTTACAAAAACTGCATTAGCTTGATCCACTTTCTGACTGAACGCTCAAACAAACCGTGTTGATAAAAGCGGTAGTTGAAGACTGTTTTTGAAACGTTAATGGAATTGAAAATTAAAAAACCCTCTCAGAATTAATTGGTACCTTCGTTTCGAGCACTTTTCACCGGTAGTCTGCTTTTAAGAAACATTGGTGGACGACCGCACAGAAATACATTGTATTCCTACTTTAATTTTTCATTACAATTGAAGACTTTCGAACCTCCGGGTCCCGCTATTCATACACTCAGCCTCACTCCGATTTCTTTAATTTCCACATGTACCAACTTTCAGCTTGATATATTGAGAATTGTTTCAATAGTATTTGTAGTAAATATTCACCATCAAATAGCGTTTTTTCCTTTCCTTTTTACCGCCGATTTCAAAGCCAAGCATGTATGCAGGAAAATTCCGTATACGAAAACACTCGTTTGATTCGAGTTTCGGTGAGTTCAAAGTAAAAATGTTTTATTGGGGAATAGATCGGTAACAAAGGCCGGCTTTCCGAAAGTTGTTGACCGTTATGTTGGTCTGTTTGTTATGCAAAAGCGTACAAATATCATTTTTCACTTTGCAGCACAAATACCAACGTCGGGTGATTTTTCTTGGCTTTTTTTTTCAATAAAAAAAAGGAGTTTTATTTATTGGCATGACATTAAGGCCACATTGAATCAACCAAGCGGTCGTTACCTGCCATTACGTAGGTACATGCTGCATAATTTCCCAGTAAATCACAAGGTGTGAAAGCTTATTGGCAACTGATTAAGTCCCCAAAATGATGGGCAGATTTGGTCGAGAATCGTCCGGGTGACCGGGTGGAAATAATAGATTCTCTTTGACGGTTTACGGTTAAAAAATAATATATGGAAGTCTAAATTGGATGGGCCTTTCTCCAGCGATCCGTCATTTTTCGCCAAAGTGATTTATAAGACGCTCGAAAGGCCGATAATTATTTCGGGGTAGTCTTTCCGATATGCACCTTGTATTAAACTTCAAATTGAGATGTTTTGGGGTGATTTATTAGGCAGAAATCGATCCAATAGATTTCAAGATGAAATTCAATCGACTTTGTTCTAAGTATTGCAACGACTAAAACTGCTGCAAATTCCTACGTCACTGTGAGCTTCAATTTTTGCAATCCCCATTTTATTTCATTTAATAAACCCTTTTTTAACGATCAAAGAATAAGCGCATTTCTCGATCTCAATAGCTTTCAAAAGCCACGGCCAGTGACTTTTTTTTATTCTTCCGTAGGTCGAACTGGTTCCAATTTGGCAACTTTTCTCCAAAGCCAAAGCTAAAAAACAACATTTAACTTGAAAAATGCCAGAAACTTTGCCGGAATCTAACAATAAGCTTTTTTCAGTCGCAATGATATGAAAATCCTTTTAACTCCATTCCAAGTTTTAAGTAATGCTTTGCGAACTTTCAGCGTTTCGTCGTTCAGTTTTTAAGTGCAAATTTAAGCATTTTTCCTCAGACCAATCGGAAATGGGCGTTAATGCAAAGCAGATTTTTCAGTAGTTTTCTTGTTCCGATTCACAATGATTATTTAAATAGCCGCTAAATACTAAATAATCACTGCCAAAGCAGTTACTAAAAGAAGCATGATATACCAACCGTTCGAGCTCAATTTTCAAGCCGTCGAGATTACAAATAATGAACAAAAGCCCGCCATGTCTTTCCACTCAATTTGTAAAGCTCAAAACCAATGATGGCCGAACCAAACAAACTAATTTTTCTAACAAATCTACCGAACAATGAAGTTCAATGTTTTCGCCTGCCATTGCGTCCACATTATATCAAACAAAGGCTTTCCCGGGTTTGGGTTTCTTTTTCTCGTCCTGCATATGACAGTGATATAGTGATCATTTTTCCGCGTCAGCCCAAGAAAAATTATTGAAAAACCTGAGTGATATAATTTCCAGTTTCTTTGTTGTGTCACGCAAGCGGCGTAATTGATTTTTAACGAAAACCTCTCTGTTTTACAGGACAATTCAGTGGCTTGCTCTCAAGTCGACATTCCCATTGAGTTTGTGACTTTAGGTATATGGCCGCCAATTCTCGAGTGGACTGTCCTGACCTTTAATGAAGCAAATCCTTCTGGAAATATTAATTAGTAAATGCTTATACATATACTAACGGTGAGCCTAGAAATGACAAACTCAAGAAGTTGTTTCAAAATTGCAACATGTACATTGCAAATTAGGGCTTTAAGCCGCCTTCTTTTTAACAACGTGAGGCCTCGTTCAACTACATTAACAGCTTTAAATGCAGGTGGTCCATCAATTAATTGCCTGCCTGGCCTTAATCTTTGTTCGAAGCCTTTAGGGTCTACGTAAAATGAGTTTCAAACCCCGTTTTCACTTGGTGAATATGAAAAGAAGGTTTTTCCGTTTCGCACCTGCTGTTGTAATTTTTAACCATCATTAAAGCTTTTAGTCCGTTTCTCCCCATATTTGCACAATGCCACTTTCATGCCTGGCCAAGTTTAGAAAGGGTTTTAGTTTCAAAAATAATGTGTTGCTCTTTTTTCTTAATTACTTTTTAAAGAATAAATAGTTCAAAATAGGCGGAGGAAAGTCTGAGGATTCGGCGGATGGCCATGGCAAAATTAGAGTGGGTTGTCAAAAAGTAAAATTAACCGTGAGGGGGTTAAAAGTGATTAGCCGTCTTAAGAGTTGCGTATCAGTGTCTGTAGCGTTAATGAACTGTAACCTCATCAAAGGAATCAGCCTGGTTTGTCTCATACGAACAGTACCTACTGAAATGCTTAGTAAATGTTGCGAATGACAACGAGGAAATTGGATTTTTGATGTGATCGTGTACGTAGGCGGGCGCAGCCCCGGCGCTTTTGTTTAAGCTCAACAAAGCTCTCTTTTAATCCCTTTTGATTATTTGGATTTCTTTAGTAGTTGCATGAATATTGAGGATCTGAGGTGTCAAAATCCGCTCAAAATATCCACAGTTCTAAATTGCAACTGCTTGTTATAACTCCTATTAGGCAATTCGGGATCGTTTTATTTAGTAACACAATGCCAGCGGCTAAAAAATTTTCTTATAAATCTGATTGCAACCAGCACAGGAGTTGGTGTGCACTAGATTTGTAAACTCTAGCGACTGCTTATCGTCCTGCTTTGGACTCTGCGTCAATATTACATCTGGCGGTAGTAAAATCACATTGCCGACATCTTTATCATTGTTGGATGATGGAGGCACGACTGCTGGAAGGTACCGATTGTCTACGACTCCCGCACAGATTAGAGAAGCCATTGAAACTAAAAGCTGAAATAAAGTGAAAACTGGTACATTTCTTGCAAATCCCATTTTTATTTAAAGGAATTATTTAAACTCACCAAAATGGCACGCATTGCGAATGGGATGAGTTAAAACGCACAAGACACAGTAAAGTTGACAAACGTTGCTTTCGGTTTTATAGGCAAACATATCCTCGGATTCGGTCAAAAACATGTCAATTTTATAAGCAATTAGCAATAACATTGATATATTTCCACATTTGATGCCTACCGGTTTACATTGATTAAATGTTATGATTTGCATTTGGTTGCGTGACCTCATCCAAAGGAATCGTTAATTTAAAATGTTTAATTACCCATCTAATTATGTGATCAATCTTGATAAGCCCCGGAGGCGAATTTTCGTTAAAACACACATCCAAAGTCTTGTTAGAATTTTTTTATTATTTATAACAACTAGACTAGTTTTCACAGGGCATATTTAGTTAAAAATGTTTCAAACCTCCAAATTATGCCTTTCGGTTTAATTGCTTGGATTATTGCAGTCAGCACAGCCTCTTTGCCACTGGAAACCTGAAATTTCTGGAGCTGGAGCTGGAATTCCTACTCCTGATCCGAAAACTAAGGGTTGGACGGGTGGAACTGGGTAGACGTAGGACGTTTGGGGAGGCAGGTAGGCATTATTGAGCGGCTGGCTGTAAACCACAGCGAAGAGAAGAGCTAAAATCTGAACGCAAAGTGACTGTAAGTTTTGGGAAAAATGAAGCAAAACCATTGCTATGAACTTACCAGTACGCTTTTCATGTTTCACCTGTCTGCGAGTGCTGAACTAAGTGTGTTTGGTTTCAAAAGTTGGCGCCGGCTTTTATATGCGAAAGCCGTCAGCAGAAAAAGTATTTCCTAAGGCAGGCCAAAAGCCTCCTCGTCTCTTTTGAGTAATCAAGTAAAAATACATTAATGGCCAACCATAAATTAGCAAATCTAGTTTATGGCATTGCCTGGTCATCAGTGGTTTGCATTGATATTAGCATTTGTTTACGCAAATATGTAAAATCGGGAAGATCGATAATCAAAAACCAGATTTTTCGGATTCGGAATGCGATCTTAAGGTGGCAGCCTAGAATCCATATTAAGGCCGCCCGATTGCCAAACATCACAACTATTCATTATAACAAACTGGATATGAGCAAAAACTATAGTGAACGCTGCAAAAATTGTCCTCAAAGCAGATTTATAACGACGTAAATTGTGCCGAAAAGACCTAAGCAAGTTAATTCTTTTCCGGGAAAACCCGATTAAAATTTACCTGAAGCTTTAATGCGGTAATCCAAAAACCACTAGGATGTGCAGTGAGATTTTTTCTTGCGTCGTAGGATGAGTTAGCATTGAAACCGTTCAAATTTCGCAATTCGCATGTTAATTTCCAGTTCTAATTTTATGAATTAGATAATGCAGTGATGAAGAAAACCTTTCGAACGACACCAAGATTATGCAAGGATGACGTAATTATTTGGAAGCGTGCCTTATATGAAATAGAGTTTACCTGATCGTCATCCTGATTTAAGAATAGTCCTGTCTTGTTCGAGAAAATATTTGGCAACAGTTTGAAGATTTAACGAATTCAGAGTGTAGTTGAAATTGAGACCAATTAGTGTTGAGACATTCGAATTCACTTCATGTCAAATCCATTTGGTATAGTGGAAGAAAAAAACTCCATTAAACGCCGTGTCATCGGTTGGAATGATTCCCAAAAATAAAAATAATTTTTCAAGTGTGATGGATTGTTTTGGATCAGTAAGGACCTCCTATGACAGACTGGAAAGACAAAATTGGGAAAATTTTGCATGGTTTTAGAAAATCGCGAATTCCTCGTTTGAGTGAATAATATAATATAAAAAAGTGAATACAAACTTACTATGGAGCTTGAGACGGCCGATCGACTGGACTGAGTAGATTCAGTTCAGCTCTCTTGATTATCGAGATATTGGCAGTCTTTTGGAAACCATATTTTCGACATTTTATCGAAAATTATTATTATTATTATAGAAAATTATGAAGTATATAAAAATAAAAGTTGAACAAAACACCGTTCAAATCGCTCTCGATGAGCCCGAAATTGTATAAAGAATAACTTATTCCGATAGCAAGCTTCGCTTTCTAAAGTAAAAATGTAAAATTTGGATAAAATCAAATCATTTTCACATGTTCAATCGATCCTATACATCCTTATAAAGTGTTTGGATCAAAAATGGGGAAGAAATCGTTGGCTAATGATCATGAATGCTCAAAAAATGCTTAAAATGTGCCGAAAATGTCTATTATTTCGGATCTGAAACTTCTACCATGTTTTTCAATGAGTACGATGCATTCCTCGCGTCCGTGAGCTGAAAATGATGTAAAATTTAACACATTAAACACGCTATCCAGACATAAAGTAAAAGCGACTCTAACTTAAACGCTCAGATCTTTTGTTGCTTAATCTCATTTGTATTGCCCTTAACGTGGATAATCTTTGGAAAACAGCAACAACGAGCAAAATGTCTTGGAAACAAAGCTCGTTAAGGCCTTTTCTCCTGGGAAGACAACAGCTAAGCAGACAGGAAAGTACAGGCTAATTGTTTAATACCGTTATAGGTCGGAATTTCGATTCGATCAGATCTTGTCCTTTTTGGCTCTTGGATAGAGACAATTTAAAAACTCAATGCAACCGCTTAGAGCAAAGTGTGATATGGCTTAAAACTAGCCACGTACTTTCCTCATCCAGTTATTGTCTGTTTCAGTTCTAGTTTTTATGCATGTAATTAGTTCTTGTCACGTTCGGTTGCTTATCCTTTCACACTTTTTCATGAACACGCCAAAGGATGGGTAAACAGGTATCTTCGTTTAATTAAAAAAGTTTCCCCGATCCGTATCGTCCATTCCGTCTGCTGGATCAGCCTCCAGCTACAATGTCATTTAATCCTGCTAGGTCAGTGATTTTTATGTCACGGACTTTTCTTAAAAGTAACGTGGTATGAAAAGGTGCTCGCTATGACCACCTTAAAGCGCTATTAAACTCGAAATTGATGGCTTGTTCTGAAACCAAATTTCAAATTCAGTATTTAAACATAAAAATTGGTTTAATTAGGTTTGAAAGTGCCGTATGTGAGACGTTAACAAATCCGTTACAACATTGTTTTTATCTCTGCCTCCGTACAATTTAATACATTTCAGAAAATGCTCGTGTCCGATTTCAAGCAGGATAACACGTTTATGGACAAATCGCACTTTAAACGATTTATTATTCTGCGTGAGGTAAGACGTGAGGCATATTTCATATGACTCCTTCGTCGACGTGCCAACGAAGGCTGCGAGGTCAAGGGTGCGCAAAACACTCTGTATATTTACGACCAGCCAACGCTTCCAGACAGATCGAGATAATTCATGGAGGATGCAAAAAACCGTTAGGCAAAATGTCCATCTTTAATGTTTACTGCAGGGCAGTGGGCCTAGAATCTGCAGACTGTATTCAAACTGCTTTCAAATAAATGTGCGCCAATACACAATGAAATCTCTGATGGCCAAATGGTCTAATAACCGATAATATGTTTTAGGCAGTAGCGCATTTCTTGGCATTCGAACCGCTGGAAAGTTTCTTTGGTAATGGAAAATAGGGCGCATAATTTCCTTCGACAACTCGGCAATTTGTCAACTAATTGGAATTCGAATGCTGATGTCGTTCCATTCACTTCCATAATAGGAGGTGATAATTCTCCTCTAATTATTGACTGAAAGTTCTGTTTCGACTCGTTGGTAGTTACGACCTATTTACAGCCCGATCAACTGAATGAACTTTTAGGTGGAAAAGTCCAGAATTTATTTAAATTGAACTGACAAATAAAATCGGATTGCCGATATTTCCCGAGCGACTGTTCCGGAGTTATTTCGACTTGATAATGCTAAGCCAGTAGTCCCAATAAAGACTGTAAAAGGCACAAATTATTACTTTAATCCGAACAGCATTCAACTTCAAACGTGGAATCAAGATCTTAAAGTCCGATCACGCGTTCACTTTGTAACTGAATCGACATGTATACAACCGGATTTCGACATGAAAACCTAATAAATGCTACTGTTATAATTTCTGCATGTTCTGAAAGTCCACTTTCGTTTCGTGGATGTAAAGCCCATGTTCGACCGCCTTTTTTGCTTAATTTAGTTATATCTGCGGCCATAAGGCAAAAAACTTTTTAGCTCGCTATTAGACAGTGAAACGCCAAATTGTGTATTTACTTCAATATAAGCCCGTATGAACCGACTTGCAATCTATCTTTTCGTTGAAGAAACTACGAATCGGGTTTTAAGCATGAGATAAAAATAGATCATTTTTTAACTTTCATAGCCACCCAGAGCCTCAGTCCAACACCTTTTCTAGTGAAAATGTTTTTTTCTAAATAAGTTAATTTTTTTGGTTAAATAGAACGCAGGTGCTTGAAATGTCTCTACAATAAAAACCGAAAATGTAACGCACCTGTTTGAAGTCCCAGGCGGCATACAAGTTTATTTGCTTCTTTGATAAGTGCCAGTGTTGTTCTCGGTATGAAGATTTTGATGATGCAAACAAAGCCTACTTCAACTCTTAAAATGCCAATTAGCAATAGTGACTGGGAAAGTAGACTTTAACAAATATTCAGTAGCTCCTGATTCTTTGGATTTCTGATCATGGAAACTCGAAAAAAAATAGAATTTATTTGAAAATGTCCGTCAAACTTTATGTCTAAGCATTTGTTGCCCCAAAGGAATCCAGCATTAATTTTAACTTCAGTCAAATCGTGGCTTATTCCATGTGGTAGAATTGAATAGAAAACTTTTTCGCCACTAACGAAATGAGCAGAATCAAAAATATGAAAGGCTTGCTATGGTAACTAATAGTTGACTTCGATTTATGAATTTTTCGAGATTGGAAATGAACTGGTGATACATTTTTAAAATCTTTACACTAAAGAACGCATTTTCTCAAGGATTACAAGAACCATAACCAGATTCTAATCGAAGTCGAGATTTATCGTTTAGTGGGCCCCGTAAAACCAAGCTAATTAAGACGATGCAGCGTTGCTGTTAATTTTTATTGACGACCCCCCCATTCCCATGCCACAAAGATTTATTAGATTCGACCTAAAATCGTAAATAATAAATAATACGGCATTCGGACATTTCATAGTTAACGAATCCATTTGAAAATTGAACACTCCATATAAACGTTTCAAGATTTTTAGTTTGTTTTACCGTTGGACCAGACAAATTAACAACTTAGCGAAACAGGCCTAATAAGCGAACAAGAAAAGGGTTTATTTAATACTGGCTCCTAAAGTAGAATATTAATTCAACGAATAATTATATCTGTTTCTACTAATTGGTCGACACATTCATTTAAACGGCTTGAAATCAATAAGAAAGCTTCTTAGTGGGCTTAAAACCAGAAGCAAGACTTTGGCCCCCATATCGAGTCGAGTCTTTGATGTTGCCATCTGATTAGCATTGAGGACTGATTAATAATGGCTCGCTGCTTAATTAATTTATTTGTAACATGTAACACTGTAATTGGGCGCAGGATGTGAACTGAAGCTTAAAAAGTACTTACATTTCCGTAGTGAACAATACGAATGAACCTGATAATAAGCTTTACTAATCACGTCGTCTATGCCAAATTTTACCTCGGTATCAAGAAAATTGCGAGTTGCAGTTGCAGCACCAAATGGCTGATGAATTTCCACTCCAACCAGAATAAAGTACAATTTCTCACCCAACAAGAGAGCAGATATGTAGGTGTAAGCATAACAATGAGCCTATTTAGGATTTTTTCGCCAGGGAAACATTGTTAGTGGACTTTTTCTAAATGAGATTGTCGAGCACGTTCA